CATGTGAAAAACTGCAATGATACTAATAGATTTACATTTCTAGTAATCGGTTCCTTGGCATTTGCAATGTTTATTATTATATCTGAAAACATTAATTTTTTTTTTTTTTATTATAAATGGTGCTCTTACCCCGTTCTACATAAAACGTAACACGACACGAGTTATATTTAAAGATTAACAAATGAAAGGAGTGCGATAGCTCGTCGTCATAATTATATAAGGATTCAGTTTCAGACTAATTATTTGTGCAGACGCAATTTTATTGCCATTATCAACTTACAAATAATATAGTTGAGTCAATAATGATAATGATAAATAGCACAAGAGAGTAACGATGTTCGATCTCTGTTAGAGACAACCTCATATTTTCACAAAAAAAAATGGATCAAAATCATGTCCGAATCATGCATATACCTAAATATTATATGATCGATTTATTAGATGAATTCTAATAACAACTACCTATCAAATATAGGTTAAAAAGGGTTGCCATCTAAAAACAGCGCAAAAGAAGTTTGAGCAGTATAGCTCATTTAAGTAGGGACTGTAAGTTTCAATTGCTGTTCAAAAAATAGGAATGAAAAAAAGCTGAACATAGCGATGGATCTAAATTTGGATATGATAATTTCATTACTTTAAGTATACTTTAACTCTTCAACCCTTTCCACTCGCAAATTCCGAGATTCTATGAATTTTGCCGCCGGAGTGGCAGTATTCGAGTCGAAAGGAATGAATGATTCCGGGTTGAATATTACTGAAATCTAAAATAATCATTGCTTGATAACTGTAAGAGGCTTTTTAAAAATCTTGACAAAAATTAGAGCATTATTATTATTATTATTATTATTATTATTATTATTATATTAAATATTATATTATATTTTTTGAACAGAAACAGCAAAAAGACACCCATTGAAAAATTGTACAATTGTTTTCTTGTAGCATGAAAATACAAATGTAGATTAAATATCTATTTTTATTGAGGCCGACCATTTTGACTCTATATAGGTAATAAGTGGTTCTTTGTTTTATTAGAATTTAAATATATTCAACCTCCTTGTAGAAATATACAATTTTATATTAGATTTAGTAACATTCAAATTAACTGAATGACGTCTACTAATAGACAAAAATAGCTCAAGTCCAGACTTTTGATTTAATAAGAATGTATATATAGGTATTATATTGAGAGATTGAAGAAATCAAGTATTAATAACTTTGAATACGTATAAATGTATCTTTATATTAATATTGTGTGATAACGAACAAATGTTTGCTTATGATAACGTACCTTAGAAATAGCGTCACAAAACGTATATAACGTAATTATTACCTGATAGCATATGGGAGAGTGAACCAAAAGATAACGTTGCATTCGTATTTGGTTGTTGTGTTCATATATTTCTACATAACGTGTACATAATGGCTTAAATAAATTGAATATAAGGCAAGACCATTCCACCAAGAAAATTCGAAATTTCATAAAAAAAATAAAGGATACTATGTTCATTGGTATATTATATAATGAAAATATAATTCCAAATACACACACACACACACACACACGCACACACATATATATATATATATATATATATATATTTTAGGGTGGTCCTTAATATGAACATTTTTGAATTTCCTTGCTCCCAGGGGCTCAAATGCTTCCAAATTGATAAAAAAATCCTCTATAAGTTTTAGCTCTTAATATTGTCTTTTAGATAGTGCGCAATTCAATCAAAGTTTTGTATGGAAATAACATGGGAAAATTTTCAAAAATTAAAAAAATTTTTTTTTAGATATAACAAATGAATGAGTTTTATTCAAAATACGACGCTCTACAAAACGAATTATATAAAACCTGTTTTGTAGAGCGTCGAATTCTCAATAAAAGATGACACTAATTGTCACTTTTAATTGATTTGTCGCTAAGTTATATCTAAATTTTTTTAACAAATTTTCGAAATTTTTTCCATACTATTTCCATACGAAGCTTTGATTGATTTTGCGCACTATCTAGAAGTAAAATTAAGAGCTAAAACTTTTAGAGAATTTTTTTTCAACTTGGAAGCATTTAAACCCTTGAGAGCAATAAAATTCGAAAATGTCCATATTAACCACCCTAATTCATATATATAGTCCTGAAGATGGGACGGTCATAGTTCCGAGACGTTAAGTTTATATTAAGTTAACGTTTAGTTAATATTAAGAGCTACAAACTTTTAGAGATTTTTTTTTATTAATTTGGAAGAATTCGAAATTCGAAAATGTCCATATTAACCGCCCGAATACATATATATAGTCCTGAAGATGGAACGGTGATAGTTCCGAAACGTTCACAATATATGAATAATTTTTAAAAATATGTTGGTTTTTCATTACTATTGGTGTTCTTGTTCGAAACTAAATATACATTTTTTTCTAAAGGTACAAAAACCACGTATTTTTATATGACAGAACTTTTTCATAAAATTTATTTGCTAGTTTTAAGCATATATTATACATTAGAACCTAACCTCTTAAAATCCACTGTCCTAAATAGTTTTACTAAAACTATAAGTTAGAATGATTGTAATCTATAATATTTGTAAGGTTTTCATATCGCACTTCAAAAATACCTTTATCACTCTTACGACAATGAAAATCCCTAAACATATAGATTCACGATCAGAGCGTCCTGATAACATTTTCTATGATCCCCCCATTGCTGTCATTTCTAGAATTTATCAGCGGAACGCCCTTTTCTTACCTTACACAAATAGGATGCCATGTAGGCCATGGTCACTCATAACCTTAACACTTCGTGCTATTAACCTTCACAGTTGAACTTGGGAGAAATAGTTACAACCCGAAACCTTCAAGATAGTTACATTTTCTATGGCTCAAAATAGACTGAAATAATGAAAATAATGAAATGAAAGACGCCCACTAATGAAATGGAAAACTCGAAAAAAATATTTCTTTAATATGTTTATAAAGCCAAATTTATCGCTGTTGGAGAAGTTTATATTTTCCACAGGAAATCCGATTCTCAAATGTGATGCTTTGTCGATGTTTGAAAACTTTATGAACACAAAAGATTCAAAAATATGCAGA